TTTTATTACCTGTCTTTCTTTTTTCAACAATACGCAGTAGGTATTTCGAATACAATGCGAATCAATGTTCAGGATATATTTGTGGATGGTATAGGCTTCATATGTTGCTTGAGAATGACGGAGCACGTGTTGAACACCTTCTGTGTACGTGTTATAAGAAGTCTGTACAATGGCCAAACTACCCTGAATATTACATATGATTCTCCATATGGCTCTGGTGAAATTTAGTTCGCCTAAGTTTTAAGACAAGTAGATTAAATGTAATCATATAGTAATCATTTTACGTATGGAATTTTATTTGTGACCAGCTTTAAGTTTTCGATTTGTTGTGTAATTGTGTTTGCTGAGATTTACATGATTTATTAAGTACAATTTAGAACTGCAAAGCGAAATTTAATATGTATAACAGTGATTACAGAAAAAATATGGTTAGGCGTCTTAAATTTCCGAACGAAATGTGGTATACACAGAATCAGCAATAATTTTAAAACAGCTGACAACACAAAATTCCTTAGATTTTTAATAAAAGAATACATTTACTTTGGCAGTAATATTTTCCAACAAGCGATGATCATCACACTAATGAATATTGTGTTTTTTTATAAATACATTTATATACGCTTAGAAAGAAAAAGCTATTAATTATTTTATAAGTACAGACATAAACAGAATGTTATTATTAAGAAATTATATATAAAAATAAACTGATTGATTATATTGATAAAAGAAACTTGTCTGTTAGACGTTTATTGTTGAAACTAACTTGTATCACACGACAAATCTGTCGGGATCCACTAAGATTCAATCATGTTATCACCTTTGATTTTATAACGATGCGATTGCGTAAAGCAATGGTTCCCCATTATTTTTCTCACTGGGCTCCTTCAGATTATGATCATAATATCAAGGGTCAGGCCCGAGATTGTTGGGAACATATCATTCCCAAATAAAGTTTTGCTTTCTATTGCAATATTTCATGGCCTGGTGGTTAGAGAGCTCGACTCGGAATCTGAGGGTCGCGGATCCGAATACCCGTCCCACCAAACATGCTCGCTCTTTCAGCCATTGGAGCATTACACGTAGTGGCCAATCCCAATATTCCTTGGTAAAAAAAGTAGCTCAAGAGTTAGCGGTTGGTGGTGATGACTTTCACTGCTAAATTATGGACGGCTAGCGCAGATAGCTCTCGTGTAGCTTGGCGCGAAATTCAAAACAAACCAAACTTTTGTTATATTTGTTCATAGCCACTAATCAGGCCTTGGAGGGCCTAGTGGGGACTACCGGCATTAAGTGTTAAAAAAATATACGTAGTTTTAAGAAGGGGTATAAGAAATTGGTCGAACTTGTACACTTGTGTTTACTGTGTACATTCATCTGTTTTATATAATTGAATACCGTTTGTTGGTCATCCTTTTTTAGTTTGTTTTGTTTTTATGGCAAATATTATTGGTTTTATTTGCCAGTTTCTTTATCTATCCACACAACCGTTAGTTAGGTAATTTGTGGTTTTAGTTCCCATTAAATTTCACTGATTTCTCGTTGTAGGAAAAGTGTCATAAGATTATATATATGGAATGCTAAATTAAACATAATAATTCCCATTTAGCTTAGGCTTAGACGTCATTGTTCTATGCAAGTTTTGCTGAATGAAATACTTCACTCTTGTCCCCCCCCCCCGTGGCTCAGCGAAAGCCTGAGGGTTTATAACACTAAAAGTCGGATTTCGATACTCACAGTGGATACAGTACATAACAAGAAACATATTTCACTAATTAAACAATATGTATCACGTGGGTACAAAGTTCACCACCAAAATAATTACACACACATGCTTGCATTTTTATTTATTTTTTAGATTATAAAGCTCTATTGATATATTATTAATATAAAAAATGTATAACAAGTTGGAAATGTGAATTAAGTAAACTATACGAAAATTATGTATACTTAGCTACAATGTCAGGTTTATATATATATATATATTTATAGTTGTATCTTTGTACTTAATGTGGTAAAAAACTAACGAACGTGAATCCAGTCAAATAACTTTAGTAGTTACAGTAATCCGATTTCGAGATTTCTAATACTTTTCACATTAAGTTCAAATCATTGGTGTATATTGCCTTGTGCAGTGTTTTAATTATTCTCTTGTGTTGACGGAGGAAAGAAGTGAGTGGTGAAACTCCAAAATGCTGTGATTTTTCTTTGTTTTTTATATGAAATTACATCATAGAAATCAATAACTTTCTTGCTTTAGATAACTTGATGTGGTTTAACGTTGATATCTACCAGATATTTAACGTCTGTATATCTTCATTTTGGCATGTACAGCTAATTAGACGTGAAGTTTATTCATATAATATAATTTGCATACATATTAGACACTAACACACATACAGCTCCAAGTTATGTGTAACATACTTTATCATAAAGGATGTATTATTGAATGTTTGTACGGTTGATAACAGTAAATACGGTTGGCTGTTAATTAACATAAGAACAATGTGTTGTTAATATTGTGTTAAGTAAAGTCGACCGCCTGGATTAACCGAACATCGACTTTGATGTAGTTATGATTATTATTATTTGGCTAGCCCATTGTTTAATAAAGACACTGGTCCCCAATATTTTGTCGAGAACCACTTAATTATAATGTTGAGAAGGCCGAGGAGGGGTGGGGATATTGATAACATACGTGAACGGCTTTGTTTTATAACCAAGAAAAATGCCTCTTCGGGAAGGAAAAGCGACTTTACCATCAGTTAGCTTATTACATATTTAACCGTCGAACACAAAATAACTATTCCCAAACAATTTTTATTAAATGGGTTCTGCGGGTCAAAAATCAGTCATGGTCCAGTACCATCTTTTTGAGCCTGGGTGTTTAATATAAACAAAGCAGTATGTATACTGTATAAACTGGTGGAACAAATACGATGATTTTAAGTCGTATAAGACAAACTAAAACAATCTCAAAACCGTGATTGCTTTTAAAGATGGCACAATTGTTTCTAGTTATATATGTTTAATGTGATCTGGAATGCCGCTCTGTTATTTGTGTAAGTTTCAGCATATTACAATGTATGAATCAAATGCTAAACGTCAGCTATGTTGTTTCGCGTTCTTTGTTTTCATCTCGTATGTCTAAAATATATGTTTGAGAATGAACTAAAAAGTAGTTATTATAATTGTTCCAGAAATCGAGGCACTCTGGGTTTTTATTGACTGTAGTGTAGACCTTAAACTTAGAACAAACATCATGGAGTATTTACTTACTACAGTATCACATCACGACATCTTTGATCATCTGAGGGCCATTTCATGTTCTCTGGTAAGATAAGAATTTCATGTTCTGTTCGAGATGTTGCTTAACGTAGTCGACATTTGGATTCCCTGAGGAACACTAAACGAATAATCGTGAGTGGCAGCTGATACTGTACCGTGGCTACTCTGCAACATAAATCTGGTTGATAGTGGTAGAGATAGCAGGTCAACAACACTTTTGGATAGGTCGTTTACTTTTCATTGTCTTGGGTCGTGTATGTTTGTGAAAGTATATGATTGGCCAAGTATGTCTGGTAGAACGTAGGAAAAGTGAACTGTGAAGGGGCATGTACTGCTCTACACAAAAGTGTTTGGTGATATATCAACATTTCATTTGCGGATAGTTGCAAAATTGATTGACATTTATTTAAGAATTGAAGTATAGGATGGTGTTACTAAATACAGAAGTGTGAATATAATTAATTTATATGATAGGTTGTATTATCTCTTTTTCAATGATAAGATTTCTAGCAGCGAATATTAGTATCACTTTGTGGGTAGTTTTAATATTTTCATTGTCTAATTACAGTAAAACTTTGATTTTCCGGATACATCACCTAAGCGCATGCGTTAAACATCATTTTACTGGTAAATAATAATAATAAAGTTGTCTTCCATTCTGTTATATTTGTATTTATGGAAAAACTACTACTGCCGCCATTTCTGATTTAGAACTACTGACCAGTGGGAATACAACTATCCAACCTAAGAGTTTGACTGCCCCTCTAGTAACACAAACACTGCTTAAAGTGCAGGAAATATTTTGTTGTATCCATCTTCGAAATCCATGCCTTATCACGTTACATTTTCAGTCCGTGTTTGATACGATTTACAAGTACACTAATTAAAAATGTTAAAATGCATATTATAGATAGAATTTTGTATATAGATGTTTAAGAACAACTGAGTAATATTCACATTTAATTATAATCTTTTATGTTTAAGTTATTATCTTGATTATGTGTATTCGTTTTATTCGATATAAAATCTTAACTCAGTATTTTATCTTTACTGATTTTATTAAGTTTTCTTTGATAATAAACTGTAACTTTCATATTCATTCCTGTTATTGCTTTTTATCATAGTGAATTGCTACCTTTGGTAAAACTGTTTGATTTTACGTACAGTTCGATTTCATGTACTTTCTCCCACCCCACAACCCAATAAAGTACGTAAAATCAGCGTTTTACTATATTTCATTAAACCTTTGGGAGTAGACGTTACTTTCTGGGGGCATGTTTTGTTCAAAGAAACACAAGAGTTCATTGTGAATTTTATTTGCTTAATTAACCTCAAAACCTCTTTCACTCTGAAAAGAAAGGGGGGGGGGAATGGTGTGTATTTCAAACAAAATTATATCTTAGAAAGATGTTGGTTTCATTTTCCTATATACTTGTGAAGAGTATTTTTACGTCTGTCTGTATGTATATATATGTTGCAGTTTTCTCCAGTTTAAAATGTTTGATATTTAATTCGATGATTTCAATTCGTTGATTAACTGTAAGGGCGTGTCTACATTTTTCTTGACTCCACCATATTAGTAAGGTTCTCTTGAGTGCACGCTGCTACAACTAGTGGCGCATGGAACTTTCACTCGTATGAGCTGGGATATGAGAATTCAAAAGTAGAGGCGCAGTCACGCTATCTCTCCCGTGTACGAGATCCACCTGCTTGCTTTCTGCAGCTGTTTAACCTATGGTAGTCTTCACTGGGACCCAGCTGCTGCGTACTAAAGTAACACGTTCTGGAGTACACCTAGATATGACAAGCATGTTGTGTTTGTTCGTTTCTGGAAAGATGCTTCGTCTTTAGAGAAAGTTTTCTGTGTGCGGAAGAAACTGAAAGTGCACCATTTTTACAAGGATTTATCTGCGGTTTCTTTGTATTGTTACGCCTACTTCTTTTATTGGAAATATATAATATTGTCGGTTTTGTTTGAAACCATGTTTACCTACGCTGGACCCCACCACTACACTCCTCCCGCAACCTATATTCCCCCAACTGTTGGGACAATGACTGGAATGAGTACAATGGGACCGCCTTCCACAGCGGCACCTCCACAAATGCTTGCCTCTCAAAGCCCTCATGGCAAAAGGAGGCGATTTGTGTAAGTATAAAATGTTTCGTTAGAAGTACTTTTATATTGTGTAAATGATAAGGAGTTGTGTTAAATCAAGTTGACAAGTGTTATTAAAACCTCTTTGTACCAGTCAGTTTTTGTGCTTTTATACTATAATCAATACTGACGTTAGTTTGAAACTAATTATTTTAATAAAACTTTTCCAATCGCTTTCCGGCCACCTCCCTATTTTTCTGTTTTTTGATACAAACGACTTTAATGAATTTTATATAGGAAAATATACTTAGACGTTAATGTTTTGGTCAAAAGCTTGTTTCAGAGTATTGTACGGGATCTCTGATTGCAGTAAGTGAAGGTATAGACAACACAGAATCTGAACTTTTGTGTCTGTTAGTGACGTATAAAACTAATTAATTGATACAAACGGCTTTAATGAATTTTATATAGGAAAATATACTTAGACGGTAATGTTTTGGTCAAAAGCTTGTTTCAAAGTATTGTACGGGATCTCTGATTGCAGTAAGTGAAGGTATAGACAACACAGAATCTGAACTTTTGTGTCTGTTAGTGACGTATAAAACTAATTAATTGGTAGGTTCTTGTACGAGAAGCAAAAGTCACATAAATTTTACATTTATAAAGTAAGAATGCGTGTGTATTTGTGCTCGCGCTCACTCTCACACACACATATATGTAGTCATAAACATTTAAAAGGACTTTGTTGTATAAAGTGGGTATACTTGTTCAGAACTTTATCTTCTTTTGCAGTGGTTGTTAAGAGAGAGAAAGTAAAAAAAAAAAAAGAAACACGAAAAGAGAAATCACCTGCTCCATTACCAGTAATTACGGTCATGTCGCTGATCGATTACACATTAAATGGGTTTCTCTTTCCCTGCTACAAAATGCACTTACTCGCTCACTGCAGGGCGGTAATGGAATAAAGTAGCCAGATTGCTTTTCTCCCTTTTTTGTCCTCTATATTTCTTTTTTTTTTGTAGGTATAAAATCTGTACAAGTGTCTTTCAACTACTTAACAGTGAATGGAACTATGCGTCCGCTGTATGAACGTTATCTATAGCACGTGTATTTCTATTAAAGTGCAAGATATTATATAAAAGACCGAATGATACTTAACGTTTTTATATTAATTTATTGCTTACCCAACTGTGTTTCAATAACGTTTGAAAACCGATTTTCGTGTTTTATACTTCCGTACTGTAAAACAACGTTTTGTCTAAAGTAATTCCCAGGCTTGATTGATGCAGTTTGGAAATTAATTTAGGAAGGGGAAAAAAATCTGCGTAAATCAAACACTGTAATAATTCCTCTACAAAAATAAAGAATGTAACTTAAAGTTTCCAAAATCGAATAATGTTATAACATTTTTTCTACACGATTATTGAGCGTTCATGGACTAATTGAATTGAATAAAGCTTTCGATTAAAGTTTCTGCATTACGATTTTAAACAGAGATAATGTTCATGGTTTGAAAATTAAAATACTTAAAAAAGAATAATTCCAGTTAACTATTCATCAATCCCACTATTCGTTGGTAAAAGAGTAGCCCA